CAATAGACCAGAAGTGGCCGCAGTGCAAGGGACTTAGTCCCACCACATTAGCAATAAAAAAAGGCTTAAAATGACTACTTTCTACGTACATTTATCTTCTAGCACTTAGATGTTGATTTAAAAATACAAGCTATTGTGGCGTGCCGTCCGAAAGTCGGAATGGTTGAGGAGATCACGGTGGATTTCCTAAGCAACGAGCAACGTTCCCGCTACAACGGCTAGGAATCAGAACGCTAGCAAACCTAAGCAATGAATTGTTCGAGGCAGTTGGATGACAACGGCTAGCGTTTGCATAGCAGCGGGCGGAATTAGCCCTTCAACAATGTTTCCCCTATTCAGTCCGAGGGCAAATTATAACAGTCCAACGTCGGCCAGAGACCAGCACCCCCGTGTGGAGGCGGGGTCGAATACCTCCACCGTGACCCTGCGAGTGGTAGGAGGCGACGAAAAGGGAAGTCTCAAATCTGAGACAGTAAAATATGGTCGCGAGTCCCAAGGGACTCAGACTCGAGAAAGACTGCACTGGCAAGGGCCAGCAGCATATACAAAATACAGACTCGTTCTCTCGTCAGAGAGGTCGCTCCACAAAAACAAGACCGTAAATGCCAAACAGTAATAAATATCTGGTCATGAGCACCAGATGGGGCTCCACACCAAGACTTGCTGACTGACTGACCGTCAGTCGCAGTGACTTGGACTTGGATTTGAGACCAGCAAAGTTTGTATTTGACCTCAGAACAGAAGAGTTATTATCCGACAAGGAACCAAGAAGAGTTGAGCTCCGAGCAGAAAACACTTCACCAAGATAGCGGAACAGAAGCGTTGTAACATTGGAGAAGAAACGTCTAAGGGGCCCTATAAGTGGAGAATAACTGCAAGTGTGAGTCTAAAAGTGACTGTACAATAAATATTCGCTCAAATCCGAGAACCCACTCAATTTCTTGTCGCGCTGCCTAGCAAACACGCGACAATATATATGAACTAAAAGTTAAAAATTAAAGATTAATTAATTTTACTAATTTTTAATATTAATTTAAAAGTGTCGTATGCTGAGACCGTGAAAGCAGGTGGGAAGCCGCTAACATCTTGCTCGGCTTATTCGACCCTGAAGATGGAGGCTATATGTTCCTCCGAAACGTCGGTTGATTTTCAATAGACTGCACGGCGTTATATGCCTGAAGACAGTACTGTTCAATATAATGTCTGTTTTCTTTCAAAGTTCTTCAGTCTGTTAATGCATTATGTGCCTGGTGGAAACAGATATTTTAATTACCGGTTCAGTGACGGGATCAATAGAAGCGCAGTGTAATCTCGTCTCGTCGCGTCGCGTCGCGTCTCTTTGCTGGTCAGTAATGACATACGAAGGACGCTGATTATCTGAAACCAAAATACCATGCACTGGCTACATGAATCGCATCACAGACACAGTTTGTGAGTTCGTCGCGCAAACAGAGACACAGGCTGCGATACTGCGAGACTCATCCTCTTCAGCTTGTCCGACATCAAATGTACATGGCCTTTCGAGTAGGCAACACGGTTCACAAGCCCACTGTTGTCATCTGCACGTTTCAAATAATTGAATACGTGGGTCCGTTGTCTTCGCGGATGGCGTGGTTGATATAGTGACTGGCTACGGGGTGGGCAACCGAGAGGATAGAGTTCGAATTCGGATAGGGTTAAGAATTTTCCCTTCTCTACGCTGTCCACACCGGCCCTAGGGTCCACCCAACCTCCTATTCAATGGGTACCAGGGGCTCTTTCCCAGGGGGTAAAGTGTCCGGCGCGTGAAGCTGGCCACTCACCTCCAACTAATGCTGGGGTCAAGAATATTTGGATCTATACAACCACTCCCCATACGCCTTCATGTCATTGGATGTTTTTCGATTGACTTAATCCTTCCGGCCGCACTATGGCCCTCGGGTCGACTCAGCCTCTAACAGAAATGAGTACCAGGTGAGCCATACGTTCTACTTATGGCTCCGTTCAGCGGCTTCTTTCCCTACCCCCCTCCCCTTCCTTTTTCTCTTTCCCAGGAAGTTCTACTGTTCCGGAACTTGTTCCGTTCCATGCCTACCACGTGACCCCCTTCCAGCTGTTGCTAAGATCTAGTGAATCTAGTGAGTAGGAAGGAGGTGGTTTAACTTCACTTGTGGTATAGCAGTCGCAGAAGGAGGGTAGCGTCTCCCTTGGGGTTGAGGCGACTCGGCTGCTAGCAGTCACAGGAGCACGTAGCAAAATTCCGTCTAAATTCGGTTTGGTTTCTTCTTCTGACTGGGTAAGGGTAGCGTTTCCCTTGGTTTCGGGACGAGTGGTAGCAAGAATTAGCTTTCTCTTGGGGCACCTATTTTACTTGCCTGGCGTTTTGTGTATTGGCCAGACTTAAAAAAAAATAGGCCGTAACTGACTTGTTAAGAAGTGTGCACGTATCTCTCGAGAGAATGTTTTTCTATAAGGGAGTGGCTCGCCGTCAACGCGGTAACTGAGCGAAATTCAGTCTCGGGCTTGTCCCCCCCCCCCTTTTTTTTTCTTCTTGGTTGAAAATTCAGGTTCATTTTTGGTCAAAGTTTTTTAGGGGCGCTGACGGTGAGAAATCTCCAAAAATACGCAATGTCA